ATTTTTGAGAGACAGAGAGAGACAGAGTGTGAGCAGGGGGAGGGGCAGAGAGAGAGAGGGAGACACAGGATCCAAAGCAGGCTCCGGGCCCTGAGCTGTCGGCACAGAGCCCGACGCGGGGCTCGAACTCACGGACTGTGACGTCACGACCTGAGCCGAAGAAGGACGCTTACCGACTGAGCCACCCAGGCGCCCCCTGGGATGCCACTTTTAGTGGAGGCCGACGTAAAAGGAGTGGGCAAGCTCCTTAGTTCTGCCCAGTAGGGCGGCAGGTGTCCTGTCAGGTTGGGAGGTGACCTCTCAACTCTTCCAATATCAAGATCCTGTGACTAAGGCAGCTTTTTGACTGCTTTGGCCAAACGTCCTCATTTTTTCTTTCTGAGGGGAAGGCATGTTTGGAGTTTCGAAAAGCACCCTGCCTGGACCCGCACTGAAGGATTCTGGTGAGCATCACCGAGGTCTGTCCTCGGAGCGCTGCCGTGTGGGGCGGGGGCCAGAGCTCAGCAAGACAGCGGACTCCCCCCAGTGCCTGCTGGTCACCAGTCACTACTGGGCACCCACACGAGGCGGCCACAAAACCCGCTTAGATGCTTAAGGTAGGCATGTCCTCTCCTGGATCCTCTTAGCTTTTATGACAGCCTTTTCTCTCCTTTTTGGAGGCACAGGCTACCGTCCCCAGCAGCCTGTCGCCAACCCGCTGTCTCTGCCGTCACTCCATGTACAAGATAACGCCTGTCAGTTCTCTGCACAAAGCACCTCTCCGCCAGAGTCTCCTGCCTGCCCACAGCCATCCCTCCCCGCCATGGCGAAAAGCAGCCAGATTTTACCGCAGGAAACTGACACCCTTTTTTCCATCTATACCACCACCAACCTGAAGTCTGGCCAGACTGCTTCATGCCCCCCCGGCCCTGGGAAATGATACTGCGATGGACACAAGTGGTTGAGGCCAGTGAGACATTGCTGGGGTTAGAGGAGACCTATTGTGAAAGGGAAGCTCTTTCCCCCCGGACTGCCCGCCGCCAGATGTAAGCCAGAGGCCGCCTGCTCCCATGCGGAGACACGGGAGTCCTTACGCCCTAGGCCCAGTCACACCAAACGAAGCCCGAACATCTCTCAGTCACACAAAACGCCTCGTTTTCATTTTTGCTTAAGGCTGTACTTGCCACCAAGAGTCTTCACACAGGACCTGAGTCACAACTGGGACATTCTCCCATTCTAAAGTGTTATCAGGAGTCTGTCCTGAACATCACAGAAGCATTGCAATGTAAATACCCTGGCAAAAAGATAGACCCTTCCAAGACCTGATCTCCGGAATCACCAAGGGGCCTGTGAGGAGGTCCCCGCGGGCACAGAGGCTGCCCCAGGCCTTCCCTGCGGGGCACCGGCAACTCTTACCTGTCTGGTTAGGCTGCCTCCGAGGTTCATGGTGCCAGAGCCCGACTTGTTGGTCTGCAGCCACAGCATCACCGTGGAGGTCAGCTTGTAATGGGCGGTGCGACCACTGGATTTCTCCTGCAGGACGAGACGGACATCAGGACCCTAGATGCAACCCTGAGCTGAGGAGAGCCCGAAGCGGCCCCTGAACTCAGGGCCATTCTACATTCGAACATGTCCCTCCCACCACCATGTGCCACCAGCACATGACCTTCTTAGAAAATCCCAGCTGGCTTCTAAAGGGACTGAGTCTACAACCACGTGCACTCAGTTCTTTGGGATCTTTAGCACCAGGGACTACTGCAATCTTGACTTCTCTCTATAGAACTAAGTGGCTTTGGGGTGCGTGTAGGAGTGAACAGGGCTTGAACAGGGCTTCACATATCACAGCATCCCCCCCACTTCAAGAAACTTCTGCCGGGAGGTGGTGGGGGAAGGGCCATACCTGCACTTCCACCACGTGGATGGAGTCCCAGCAGCCCTTGATCTTCTTTGATCCGTCTCCAGCCTTCTTTATGAGGATCACTCCAGCAAAACCATGATCCAGATCCCAGAGGTAGACAGATGAGACGCCGCCTTCAAAATACCTGCCGGAAACAGGCCCACGTGCCCATTAGATGTTAAGCCCGTCAAATTACAGATCATCAGCCCAGGGGTTCGTTTGGCAAAGCTTCATCTGAAGGTCTGTCTGGAACTGAGGACCCTCCCTCCCTGCGGTGCTTTCCAGGGCTGACTCTTCACGTGTCCTGAGCACCTGTGCTTGGGGGAGGGGGTCCCAAAAGGAACAGGGGCTTAGGAGTCCTAAAGTTGAACTGGAGTGTGAGCTCTGCCACACTAACTCTGTGGTCTTTGGCAAGCTTACTAAACTTCTCCGGGCTTCTGGTTCTTTCCAGATGAAGGATCCAGCAAAGTGTGTGATGTGGAATGGACGCACAATGGGGGTCATCACCAGAGTAATCGTTACTGTTCGACATCCCTATCTTTCAGGACGGCTATTTCACAGGGGGATCAGGAGAAAAAAACAGCAGAGCCTCCCCCCTGAGCTCCCTCCTCAGGTCTGAGTTGGTGTGGAAAATCTCCTAAGAACAAATGCAAGAGGGGAAGAGGACGACATCAGGCTGGGGTCCCAAATCCAGGAGACCCAGAGTGACAGCGTGGCAGAACCGGGCGGCCGGGGGCACAGCGGGTCACCAGCCGCTGTGCGGTGAGTACCGCGTCCCAGCACGCTCTTTATCAGCCCGCTGCTAGAGCACATTCTTTACCGGGACGTCTGTGGCCTCTCTGACCCCAATTAACCTCGGCATCCACGGTGTGGCAGGCACACTCTGGGGCTCGCTGGGAGGGCCAGCAGCACATGTGCAGCACTGAGCACAGGCTTGGGGGTCACAGGGGCCTGGGCCCCGGCCCCCCCATCACCAGCTGTGGTCACACATTACCCACCCACCAACTCTTTATAAAGTGTTACCAGGTACCGACAGTCTGAACTGGACCTTAGTTTCATTATAAAATGGGAACGGTAATACCTACTTTATAGGACTGGTAAGAGACAAAAAAACAAAACAAAAAAACCCCAAAAAAACCCCACGGGAAAGTAAAAAATCTGACCAAAGATGATTATTGATTTTAATAACAAAAATAAGTACTAAAAATAAACACGTCTGTGAATTCTCAATAAAGCTGTTACATGATAAAAAATATACACGGTTAATACTAATATTTAGAGAATGTGGGTGAAAGGGACACTAGAGTTCTTTGTACTTTTGGGGGGGTAATTTTCATCTGAAACGATTTCAAACTAAAACGTTTTGGTGCCAAGGTCAGCAGGCGACTCACGCGAGTGTAACAATCGGAGCAAGGAAACAGCCTTTCCTCACCAGATCGAGTCTGCTACCTTTGAGCTGCAGGATGCCGTGGTCCTAACCCACAGCGGGCCCACCGGGTGCCCAAGGGGTGCAGACGAGGTCTGCAACCCTCACCCCTCCCTGCGGGGATTCCTCGGGCAGAGGGGGCAGCCCGCCGCTGCCATCACATCCCATCCCTGCCTCTAGCTCCCCGCAGGATGTGCTGTGATTAAGCCATCAGACGAAATTCACACCCCCAGTTGCCCTGGGCCAGGGCTAACCACACGGTCAAGCCAAGGACGGCGGGAAGGGGCTGGCTCCAGGCGAGTGCAACACAGAGCACAGACACACCTGGGTGGGTGGGGGTGGAGGGCAGAGCTCAGAGGCCTCCTAGGCGACCTCCAAGAAATCCACACTCAGGGACCCCACTCAGGAAGGTTCCCTGTCTTGCTCCTACTCTGTCCACACCCCACTCTCTGGGGGTGGGGGGTGGTAACGAGATGTATTCCGGTCTAGGACCTGTGGCCCCACCTCTCTTCCTGGAGATCCAGCGGTCTCTAGAACAGGGCCCCTGCAGTGCTCGGGTGAGCTCCAACCAGGGGCTTGGGAAGCCTTTCTGGCCCGTTCTCCTGGGCTCTGGTGGCTCCCGCAGCTTGAACGTTCATCAGGAGGCACACCAGCACACTAGGGAAGAAGAGCCCCGCCAAGCCCAGTCCTGCTGGGGACGGAGGGCAGGGTTCTAACGCACGGCTTCCCCTCCGGTCTGCTTGTGGGGAGCGCGGCCCCACATCAAAAGGGAAGAAACAACAGCTCTAAAAACTGTGGCTTTTCTTTGCTGGCAAAAAGGAGGGGCCGATAATCCCTTCTGAAGGCTTGATGCCCGCAGTCACTCTCACCCTTCCGCCTCTCATGGCTCGTGGCCCTGGTCTCCGTGACCAGAAGGCGGCGGTGGTCTTGTCCAGGCTGTGCGCCCTCTGTGCCCTAGCGTACTGGGGAAAGCGGGCCACGCAGCCCTGGAAGGGAACCAGGAGAGACCCTGGTGGTTTCACAGCCCTGGTCACCACGTAGAGACCAGCTCCACAGCACCAAGCAGCTTACAGTCGATTCCCCTCGGTCCTGTCCCTTGGACTTGTTTTCTTCCAGAAAACAAAACCTCTACATTCATGTTTTATACGGTGGAACTGGCCGTTTCCACCCCAACGTCCCGCCCGGTGGCCTGGCTCCCACTCTGGGCAGCCTCTCCCCGGGATCCTCAGCCTCCTCTCTGGGCCACACTGACCCGGACAAAGTTTCAAGTCGGAGACAAACGAGGTAAAAACACAAACACAACTCTGACTCCTATGTGGGTTGCTATTCCTTTCTCCAAAATTAAAAACTTCACTGCAAGAACAGTTACAAAACAAGGAAATTTAAAAATTAGCCCACAATACCATATATCAACTTATCCCATAAATCTGATTTTTCCAAATCCCCTTCCAGTCCTTGTCCGGGTGTGTAATTTTTATATAACGAAAAGCACAGCAACGGTACTGCGTTGAGCTCGGCCTTTTTGCCTGGCACAGGATCGTCAGCACTTTTCCAGAGGGCCCCATGATCTCTCACTGTTTTTAACAGCCCAGGTACTAGTCCACTGGGCAGCAGCCTCACTTACAGTCGATTTGACTTGTAATAAAGCGATGGCAGCAGGGTCGGAGGCGACGCCGTTGACCTCACTTTGAATCTGTTCCCTCTCCCATCGGGGTGTTCCTCATCGGGGTGAGGCAGGCGTGCTGAAACCCGGCCTCCGCAGGCATATGGCCCCAACACACAGCAAGTCAACAACGGGCCTGCATTCCATTCACCAAAAGGCATCTCCGGGGACTGGGGAGCCAGCAAGTCCCAACCTGATGCTCCAAGACAAAGGGAGCAGAGGACTGAGTGATCAGAAGGGCCGTTTCGGAATCTCCCAGAAACACCGGCCTCCCCGACAAGTGCCTTCAAGGACCGCGGTGAGCAGGTTGGTGGCGGGGTGACTGCGGGGCATGCAGACAGCCCCCCATTACGTGGTTTACAGCTTGGCTCTGCGAGTGAAGCATTAATTAAACAGGGACCTCAACAAGTTTTTGAAAATTTATTCTTACCTACTGTACTTTGATCATAATGACATGAAACAGGAAAAAAATAATTTTTATGTGGTTCACATTTATGAGTTTTTACATAAAGGCTTTTGTGGGTATTTTAAGAATGTGCTAAAATGTTGTCTGAAACCACATAAAGCCATCTGAGGAGTCGCCCGCCAGAACTAACAGCACACACATGGAAGCACTTTAACCGGCCTTTGTATATTTAATGAGTCAAATAGTATTAATATTGTTTAAATGCTAACATGCCATTTCAATAAGGTGGCTCCACCATCGCCAGCGACCCGCTCTCGGGCCTCGCACGTCAATGTGAATGAATGATCCAATGTGGCCGGGACCAAGAGCAGGCCAGCGCTTGATCATTTCTAAAGCCCCAGCCCTCCAGGGAGGGAGGGAGGACGGGCCCCGTACCAACTGCCACGACACTGCTGTGTGAGCTCGAGAGGCAAGGCCCAGAGTTCCTGCAGTGGGCTCTCTGGTCAAGTGGGCAGCTCAGAGAACTTTATTTATCTAAAAAAATTTGTTTTTAATTTGTTTGTTTGTTTATTTAGAGCACGCACAAACAGAGAAGAGGCAGAGAGGAGAGACAGAATCCTCAGCAGACCCCGTGCCATCAGCGCAGAGCCCGACACAGGGCTCAAACTCACAAACTGTGAGATCAGGACCTGAGCTGAGATCAACAGGCAGGTGCTTAACCGACCATGCCACCGAGGTGCCCCCAGCTCTGAGAACTTTAAAACATGGAGGCCTGAAGACGAGAGCAGAGGCTTTTCTTGGCCCTGAAACCCACATAGACTCAGGTGAAGGGGATGAATGATGTCTTAGCTGGACAACACAGGGACACTCTGCAGGGGGACTGGGGAGATGCCACCCTGGAAAGTCTTGAACCATGAGGCAGCGGTGCCCCTGAAGGCTCCAGGGACACCCGCAGTGGGGAAATGACACGCTGGAATCAAACTGTGCTGGTGTCCACTGAAAAGCAAACCCCTTCCACCATCCACCACAGGGCTCCGTGGTCTCAGTGGCTTCCAAGACTTTCCCAGTAAGGGTGAACGCTTCCTTCCCTTTAAAAAAAAAAAAAAAAAAAACTTTTTTAAAACTGATTTGTTTAAATTATTACTTTTTTCAAAGTAAATCCTGCCTCCCACGTGGGGCTCAAACCCACAACCCCAAGATCAAGAGTCACGTGCCCTACCAACTGAACCAGCCAGGCGTCCGAAGGGTGAACATTTCCTAAGGCAATGGAACTGCAGAGAATTCGGACAGCTAGGTCTAAGATGGGGCCACCGTGCACTGGCTCCCTAAGTCCGGTCCTCTGAAAACCAGTACTTGAGCACAACAGGCAGATCCAGGTTCATAAAGTCCAGAAGATCGGGGCACCACGGGCCACCTCTGCCCTGGAGGAGCTCGGGGTAAGCAGCCAGCCCAGCAGGTGGGCTCACATTTATCCGCACAGTCAATTACACTTAAGCATCATCTGCTCAAGTTTACTCCCTATCACCAGCTACATCCCTGAACCTGGACCAACTAAAAGCCCGACTCCTCAGAGTTCAGTATCATTCCTCCCTGCAAATGACTCTTGCATTTGAATCATGTCATAGTCACGGGTACAGATTCTGGGTCCAT